GGAGGGGCCGGAGGGGTGCGCTTGGGGGCCGCGGGGACGGGGCCGCGGTTCTGGCGCGCGTCGCGCTAGGCGTAGGGTTGGTTATGTGGCTTTACGGGACGTGGGCGACATGGTCTAGTGCGAGGTGTCCCTGCCCTTGGCTGGGGGGGGGAACTAGATGCTCTTAAGGTCCTTTCCAACCCATACCCATATCATAGTTATCAGCCCTTTGGAGATAAATGCGTACACGGCGCGATCCTTTTACAGGGACGTCCAAACAATAGGCTCTGCTTAAATGAGGGCGAATGTAATGATAGCTGGGCAAGTAACTTTGCACTTCCTGCTGTCTGATTTTCTCCCTGCTTGAGTACTCTGGGTTTTCCTTCGGGATAGTCTAGTCTTTCTGAAGCTGTTTGTGGTTCCGTGTAATGAACTTAGCCCTGCTTCTGGCAAGGCGATTAACAGAAATGTTAAATGTCCCTGGGCCTTCGGGGTCACCATTTGTTGCTGCTTAGTTCTGTGCTGATCGTTCAGTTTCAATGCTCTGCTTGCAGCTGTGCTTAGCTTCCATTCTTCTTCTGGAAAAAATAGCACAACAAGGGGAAAATTATTGTTTTCCATTATCCTTTAAAATGTATGCATTGTCCCAAGTTTTGCCTATCCTGGTGTCTTACGCTTTCCCATTTCCAAGATACGGTTTTCCTTCCTGACCTGTATATTCCCTTTATTCTGATTTTCTTATTCTTATATCCTCTTGAAGTTGTTAATGATTCTGTTGCATTTGGAACTTTCTCTACTATTTTGGTCATTTTGGAGCATGATTTACAGATAATAATAGCAACATCAATGTAAGAAATTTCAGGGTGTGTTTTTTTCCTAATTCCAGAGCTCCCCAATCCAAAGGATTTCTTTAGCTAATTTCCCATCTGCATTACAAAACCCTGGGTATAAGCCAATTTCTTTTAATCTATCTTAATTTAAATTGAACTAATCAATTTATGATGCTTCAGTTCACACTTGCTTTCTACTGCTGGTTGTTCTGATTCCACCGTTATGGAATTTATTTGCTACTCAATATTTGTTTTCTATTTTCAGGTTTTAAAAGCATTTGATTATGTCTCTCCTTGGAAGGGACAGCAACAGATGTACAAGCTGGACATAGGCTGGCCTAAAATTCCAGAATACTTCACTGGCCAAACATTTTGTGTTGCTGTTGACTCTCTTCATGGTTTGGTCTATGTGGGACAAGTGAGTGAGAATATTATATTCCTCTTTGTTGTTCTAGTATATTTTTGCCTTTAAAGTGACTGGGTTAGATTAGGATACATATGCATGTGTCTACATATATATGAATAATTATTTTGTCAAAATTAGTGGAAATATAAGTATAGATGTGTCTGCTCTATCCATTTTTAAAGCAGTTCTGGCACCACACTTGTTTGTATTTGGAAGCATTAAATTTCTGTGAATGCATGATCCAACTTGACTGAGTCACAGTGGCTTCTTCTTTTAACTGCAAACTAAAATGTGATTCTAGGGCAGCTGAATCTTCCACTCTTTCAGCCTTTGTCACACGAAATCAAAACCACACAGCTCTTTAGCCAGTTACAGTAGCTGCAATTCAATTATTTGCTGTACCCAGTTCCATGCGTTGGTATCTCTAGGTCACGGATAAAACATTCTCTCCATGGCAAGTGGTGGATTTAATTATAAAGCACAGTATGAGTCCTTGAGTATGAGTGCTGCTAATAAGTACAGATAGAGTTTTTAATGCCTGTGTTACGCTTGTCATCTTTTTCAACAAGAATATGAAAACGCAATTCAAAGTGAAGACCAGGATAGCTGCAGGAGCTTGGGTGCTCTGAAAATTGGCCTCTTGATCTAAGCTGAAACTCTAGAATGAGAGGAAAGATTTGCATGGAAAACTTAGACCCTTCTGTCTCTTTCCTTTTCTAGCTGAAAAAAGTGAGATCTATTAGACAATTTCAGGAGATTCTTACAATTCATGAAATGTTTTAAAAAACTAACAAGGAGGAATTCCAAATTCCTCTATTCAAATATGATTACTTGATTAATATATTTTCTTAATAGACCTTTTTTTTTAATTTTTTTTTCTTTTTTTTTCCAGAGGGGAGACAATGTGCCAAAGGTACTTGTATTCTCAGAGGAAGGCTACTTCCTTTACTCCTGGAATGATACAGTTGAAATGCCTCATGGTATTTTTGTATTGAACACCGCAACAGATAGTTCAATATGGATCACAGATGTTGGAACAGGTATGCATGGTGGTGGTATGACAAGTATTAGATAGGGAAGAAAATGCTAACACTGCAGATACTACTTTAAACAACTCGTTTAAGTCTTTTGAACAATTCTGAGGTAGATTGGTGCTTTTCTTGCCAAGAACAAAATTCTTAGGTGCTGCACAAAACACTCTGAAGGTTTAAGAGTTGTGCTTTGTGTCTGCTTATAGTTTCTGAAATTAGTAAGCACTGCCTACCCTCACCCCTGCCAGGAGAAGTATCAGGGGAAAAATAAATGTTCTGGCTAGACTTACTGTCTGTCCTAGATGTGGTGACCCTAAAACAATGGATAAAAATTGTAGCCTATGGATTTACTAACCCACAGTCATATTCTCACTATGGAATTTTGTCTGTTTGATTTATTATATTGTGAGTAGCAGGAGATTTTCTTTTCTAATCTTTGTAATCAGTTTACTATTTTTGTTTGTTTTTCTTAATTCAGGGAAATATGGGCACACTGTGAAGCAGTATAGCCCTTCAGGTAAACTTATGCAGATCTTGGGCACGCCAGGTAATGCTGGTTCAAGTTTGATTCCCCTACAATTTGATCAACCAGCAGACATCTTTGTAGAAGAAAGTGGAGATATTTATGTTGTGGATGGAGATGGAGGAATGAATAACAGATTGCTCAAACTATCTGACGGTATGGAAAAGTGAACTTCTGCAGTAGTTGACCATCTACAATTAAATTTTAAATAACAGACCTTGAGAATACTTTTAAGTGAGAAACAGGTGGAGCTGTCATTTAGCATTAGTTTGAAGACTGTTGAATCAGATCCTGTTTTATTACTTGTCACTTCAGAAGAAATCTTCTAATCATTAACAACAAAAGACTGATAAAATGAGTTTGTGCAGTCTTCAAGAGAGAAGGCTAAGGAGGATTTGTATTGCTGTCTTCAAGTCGGTAATGGGACGATGGCGAGAAGAGAAAGCCACACATTTCTTGGAGATGCATAGTGAAGAATGAGGAGCACTGAGCAAAAGATGAAAGAGGGGTCAATTCCAGCTTGATTTTTGGAGGGAAAGGCTCACAATGGGGCTGATTGGACAGTGAATAGTTTGTCCAGAGATGGTGTGCAGTCTCCACTCTTGGAGGTGCTCAAAACTTCATGAGTAACCTGAGCTAACTACAGAGTTGGATTTGTTATCAAGGTTAGTCCTGCCTTGAGAAGCAGGTTGGACTGGATGATCTTGGATTTGTTATCAAGGCTAGTCCTGCTTTGAGAAGCAGATTGGACTGGATGATGTCTGGAGATCTTTTATACATAAATTATTCTGTGGTTCTAAATTAGCTTGCTCATATTCCCTGATTAGATGACCTGTGTTGGTTAGGGCAGTGAGTGAGGAGTCTGCACTTGCCTATGGTTGGAAAAATGTGGAGGAGCTAGTTTTTCCTTTGTACTCTCATGGAACAGTTGGTTTCCTAATATCTAGTTTGCAAATTGGTAAATTTTTAAAATGCAAAACTGACTGAAAACTGTCAGGTAGCAAATGTAAAGAAGCAGTTTAGTAAGCAAATGAATATCATAATCATCCAACTATTACTGGTTTTTTCCCCCTTTAATACAGTATTTAACAGAGCCTTGGTCTATGGATCTTGTATACTTGTGGCTACATTTCTGTAACCACAATCCTGAAACCATGAATAACAATCCTGTAGTCTCTGTAGTAGTTCCAGTATTTCTTGGGTTTATGTGTCAGCAGTATTGTGTTTAAAAAGTCTGAGTTTAGGAATGTCACCTTTTACAAATTACTGAAGGTAGCTTTGCCACGGAATGACTTCAAGCTGGTTTATTTATTGTTTTCTTACTGTGTTTTATTTTATTTTTAAATTTGATTTTTCATGGTTCTCACCATTTAGACTACAGAGAGATATGGCTGGCTGGAGCAAATGGGACCGGCATTGGTCAATTCAAGATTCCTCACAGTGTAACAGTGGATCCTGTTGGACGGGTAAAAAATAAAGAGAGAATTTTTCATCTTCCAACAGACTTGTTTACATGGTTGCTTTACATTAAAGGGTAACCATGTGTATACGCATTCAAAGACAGCAATTGTGATGGGCTCTGATTTTACTGCCAGCATAGTGTTGATCTGCCTCTGTTAAAAATAGTTGTTAATCCCTAAGAAATCTAAGGGAATGCTGTAGTAATGTGTCACCTTAAAATAGTGATGAAAGATATCAGATGAACTTAGTTATTGCTCCCTTGTCATGAAGTTTATTGATCAGACTGGCACGTTGTCAACAGCTAAAACTTCAATGATTGTAGTACAAGAGATGCCTTCACTGGAGCTGTCTAGTGGTATTGCTAGCTTACGTTGTTTGTAAACTCAGTAAGGATAGGGTGGGACAGAGACAAGCTCTACAAAACTGATTAAACAAAACATGCTGAAAATGCACTTGGTATTTAAGTTATTGATATTTAGAGTAGTATTAGGCATATCAAGAGTGTTTGCAGATGCAGTCATCATAAGCCTGGATCATTGACATGAGACTACTTCTGAAAAACAAATTGTTAGCAAGTGACAGATCAGTATCTTTAGAGTTAAATGGTTAATATATCCTCACTGTGGAGTGGGAATCCTACTAAATATATCCATACCAGAGCCACAAAAATTAAGAGAAGGCATTGATTTCTCTGTTAAAGTAGTGTAAAATAATTCGTCTATGTTAACTATGTGGTGGTTTTGTTTTATATCTGGAAGTCAAATTTACTGAGGTACCTCCCTATTTAAAACTACATTCTTCCAAGGTGTACTTTTTTACTACAGGATATTTTGCTCTTGTAAAAAACTAATGCATTTTATTTGTTCTATTTGTGAACAACCATGATTTTTGTTCTTAACAGGTATGGGTTGCAGACAGAGACAACAAAAGAATCCAAGTTTTTGACAAAGTCACAGGGGAATGGCTTGGGTCTTGGAGCAGCTGTTTTGCAGAAGATGGACCCTATTCTGTCAGGTATTGTTGAACAGTTCTTCTAGAAGTATGCAATTACATAAATAAGATGTATTCTTAATGAAGTAGAATATTAATGTTTAATGCCTGATGACAAGGAATAACCAGTTTAACTAATAGACTACTGGACCATAAGGTACTGCACAGTGGTATCTTAACAGGGAAATGCTGGCTTTTATGGCCCCATGGATTTGAGTACAGGACTGAGAACTTCATTTTAAAGTTGTAGTGTGTTGTTGAGCTTGCTGTTGCAGCTTTTACAGGAAGAGGGATTGTCTTAAATAATTTTATTGTAGTATAATGTGTCTCAAGGAGCAGCAATGGATAGGGCAAGGCTTACAAGTTAATTCTCAATGTTTCATTGCATTTAGTCCGTTGTAGCCTTCAAAAACTTGACTGTTAAGGAGGTTTTGTTTGTTTGAAAGTGCATGGCTGTGTTAACATGACATGTTATGTGGAGTTCATAGTTCAAAATATATTTCTGTCTTTCACAGGTTTACTGCAGATTACAAATACCTAATTGTAGCTCAGATGAATATCAACCGACTAGCAATCTTGGCAGCACCACTGGTTGGCTCTATTGGGGACTGTGTTATGGTCCAAACAATCCAGCTGGCAGATGAAACCAAACCACACCTTGTGGATGTAGACATGAAGAGTGGTGCAGTCTATGTCGCAGAGATTGGAGCCCAGCAAGTACAAAGATACGTACCCTTAAGCTGATGGTTTCCCACAACTGCCATAGCACAAGTTGTGTGATGGAAATATGGCCATAAATGTGGAGACCTATAACCACATTTCCTTGAGTTTTCTGTGGCTTTTGTTTCCTCAGACAAGCACAGAACATTGTGCTCCTGGAACTCCAGAGTTAAGGATCTGTCCTAGCTGTTCTTCAGTCCTGGAGAAGTACTTGGTCTTGAGCTGTTGGTCGTTTTAGCAATGCTGTGATGGCTTTTGCTTTTTTGGCTGCCAATTGTAAGATGACTTTGATAAGCATCTTAATTTTTATTATATAAAACTTTACAAACATAGCTACTGTTCTTAAATGTATAGGGTCATCTTAGGGCTCTTCTACATAGCCTGCTTGTGTTTGTTGTTAAATGAAGGTCAGAACTGTCTGAAAGAAGTGTATAAATGATTTCCTGTGAGGTAAGCACCTCGTTTCAATGTTTCTTCATTTTTGTTTTTGTTTTGTTTGGGTTTGTTGGGTTTTTTTTAATCATCATGCTGATACTGTCCAACATGGAGTATAGGGATGCATTGTGATGTTGAGTAAGATGCTGCTGGATAGTGGTGTCAGTGCTGATACTGGCATCTGCCTTAAGTGGTTAATGGCATAAGCATTGAAATCTAAATTTTCATCTCTAGCTAAAGTGGTAAAGTCTGTAATAAGCTTAAGCTAAAGTGATATCAGGCACTTCAAACTAAATTAAAACTATGTGCACAGCAGCCAAGTACTGATTCTTAACTAAATCAATTCTTAACCTGATTTGATTTATATCAGCCTGAGTTTTCTGTTCTGTAAGATTTCATAGTGGAACATATGGAATTTCAACTCATTTAAGTTCCTCAAGAAAAACAAATTGCAATTTACTAGGAGAACTTTAATCAGCATTAGGGACTAGGAGACACCTGATTTAACCCCCAATTTCCTTGAAGCTCTGTCAGCTAACAGTGGCAGATCTGTTTTGATTTGGGGATTTTCAACTGATATACATCCAGAACTTTGTCAACTCCATTAATGTCTACAGTTAAGTTTTTTACACTATATCCTAGCAGATGTCCCTAAGCTCTGTCCTAAAAAATGCTGTTTTCTTTCCATTCCCAGTCCAGAGTGGTTACATGTTGCAACAAGATTTTAAGTTAGTTCCCTTTACAGCACAGAGGGAACTGGGTGTAAGAAGATGGAATGGGGAAGATGGCATGGCAGAAATGAGGTGGTGAATAACTAATTACCCCTGTAAAGCTGTAGACCCACATTCGATATTTATCTGCTAGCACTTCAAAGTATTTGGGAAGGTTTCTGCTGTTTCCACACACTTACTCGACTCTGTGGACTATTTTAATGCTATTTACCAGCTAAGAGAGGCAAATTCTTTTTCTACTTCCTTAGAAAGCAAATATAGAAACCAGAATTATTCTGATGGGAAATATCCACTTCCATGAACATTATAAAAAGCAAGTGCTTCTTAACTTGGCACATTTCATCCTATGATCATAAATCTGTGGGTCAGCAGATGGAAAATCTGTCCAAAAAAATCAGATTCATATTTTCTGTGGAAACTCAGCTGTGGGGCCTGATTTCAGTACTCTTTGAGATTAGTGCACTAAATAGGAATGCTTTGTTGTTGGTTGCATGCACAGTATCAAAAGCATATCTTACCTGGCGGCCATCATGCAGGCCTGAGACCTAGAACTCCAGGGTTATACAGTAGCAAATTATGAATGGGAGCTAGTAAGCAATATTTATTAGTTGAAAAAGTACCAGTACTTCCTCTAGATGTAGGGACATAAGTCCATATTGCTTTGCAGTGTGTTGTGTGGATTTTCTAACTAGCTCAGGGATCTCTGCTTTGTGTGCAATGTAGCTATTTCTCACCTACACAAGGTGGATTTATTTTTGAAAATATTACTGTAATATCATTAACTATATTTGAACATCTTCAGGTGGTGTAAGGGATCCAGGCACATCCATCCTTCCTCACCACGTCCTGTCCTTATTTATTTTTCCTTCGTCACATCCGTTAGAAACAGAACTTGAAGCTCTCTGGGAACATGCTTCCGTGTTCAGTGAAGGACTAGTGCACTTTTGGGTGTTGACAAGTTATGCCTACAAGTTTGTTTGCTGCATTGGTCTGCTCTCAACTCTATTTTTACAAGGGCTTTTGCAGCCCCTAGAAATGGGGAGTGTTCATCCAGTTTTGTCTGGCTTTACTGAAATAGGCTGTGGTGCCAAAATGTGCCTTGCCTGTATGCATTTGGGTATCAGTGATAAGAAGGGATGCTCATTATTAACTGGTATGAGATGCTTAGACTTCTTTTATCTCTGTGTCTATGACCAGAAAATGATTGATTTGTGCAGTAACTTGCTAATTCTCTGAAGGTTTTCTTATGTCTCATCTTGAAACTGGTTTCTGAAAAATTGCATAGTAGGATAATTTGATAAAATAAATTGAGAATTTCCTATTATGAAAGGCTTGGGTGCTTTATTTCTGTACTAATAGCAACATTTTCCATTGCAATGGATTATTTTTCGAAATACTGGGTCATCAGCACTTTAATAAGGTATGTAATAATTCAAATTATTCAAATGTGATCTAAAATTCCATGTTATCTTTATACATTACTCTTTCTGTGGCCCATCTCTTTTACTAACTTATGTATCAAAAAAGGCAGATAAATCTCATCCAGATGTTTTCATCTGAGCAATTAGTAAAATGGGATGATGAGTGACGTAATGCCAAGTATAAAGAAATACTTGAACTGTACACCCTTTTGACACTAATAGGGAAATTAAAAACACACTAACAAAATACTTCTTAATACAGAATAAGGTTTTATTTCCAAAAAAGATGTATTGAGCAATCTGTTTAGTTTTTAGAAGATCACAAGTGACTTCTCTGTGGGTTAGAAACACTTGCACAAGAAGAAAAATAACATGCTACAGTATACAGTGCACAGGTATATCTGTGGGGCTGCTTGTTACTGTACGTTCACTGCCCTAAAGTGGTTATTAAACTTTCTGAAGCATGAAGTAGTTATCTTAGTTGATACTTTCTTAACAATATGTAACCTGAGAAACCTTTACAAGTGGTCTATCCCCAAGAAGTGTTTGCGGTCACTGAAGTTGCTCGTATGAAACATAAGAGGGCACCAAACCCCTGCCAATGCTTGGCATGCTCAGTGTAACAATATACTAGCAAATGTAAGCAGCTGGTAATTTCTGTACAGTTGAAGTAAGTCAACAAAGATAATTAATTATTCCAGACTTCCTTTCTGTTTTCAAACGGGACTGCTTTAAACATAAGCAGATAATTGTATTATAGTCATTTTGGCTTATTACTACTTGATTCATGCCCATCTTTTATTTATTCCCATTGTTTTTCCTAGAAAAAAAAAATCAGTAATTCAGTATCCAGAGACAACTGGGTATGGTGAATTGATTCTTCTAGTCCTCATGTTATTGATTCCAATGGATTTACTCCTGATATCTTGCTTTGGAAACAACAATTTATAATAGTGTAACTGTAGCAGCATAATTATACCAAGAGTGCAATGCCAATATATTTCCCTA